GCGCCCCGGCACCCCCTGCACCCTGCGAGCCCCACACTGGCCTCCTTGGTGCGAGCGCGCCCGACCCTGGACTTTCGGGGGCTCCTTTCCCCTCCACCACCCCTCTGACAGACCTTCGGCGGCTCCCCGCCCCTGTCCCGCCACTCAGACGTGGCTACTTTGGGAGGGCTGGGGGGGCGGGAGGGGACGCGGTATAAAGAGCCGGAGGCGGCGCGGCCCGGGACCTAGACGTGGCATGTCCACTCTGCCGGCCTCCGCTCCAGGTACGTGCGCGTCCCTCGGCGGGATCCGTGGGGATGGGGGTGCGGGTGATGTGGGCAGCGGCCACCGAGTCCTCCCGGACTCGCGAGTTTGCGATTTCTTTTCTTTTTGTGTGACATCCTCTTGCGGGCTCTGAGCGGCAAACTCCTTAAAGACCGAGAGAGCTGCTGTGGTTTCCTGGAGGAGCGATTTGGGGGTGAGCCTCCCGCCTAGTTCAGGTCGATTTCTGCGGGAATTAACAAATCGGACGAAGCAGGAAGGCAGGTCAGGCGGTGAGCGTTAAGAGAGGAGCTCCTGGATGGCCAATGTCAACTTGTCCAACTCTGGGCCAGATGTTACTTGTTGCACTTTGCAGAATCTTTCGGCTTTTTTGAGCAAGTACTCAGACGACAAGATTCATAACTGGAAAGCAAAGTACCTTTTAGGGCACCTAGACTATGTTACTTTGCGGCAGAACGTTGGTTCAAACTCCGAAGGGTGGCGCGTGACCCTTTCTCTCTGGATGAGGGTGGGGACAGTCTCTCCTGGCCCTTTTTTCTCCATCTTGGCTTCAGAGGATGGCTTTAAAGTTCCGGTTGCATAAGGAAACGCATGAACGCCCCACCACTGCCCTCTCTTAGCTAGTGATGTGGGATGCCTGCGTGGCCCGCATTCACACATCACTCCAAAGCCAGTATCAGGTCGTTGGGGTGGCCCACACCGGAAATGACCTAGTGTGCCATTGAGCTTGCCTGTGAAACAGAACCCATCACTGGCTGGATGGTGTCATAGCCCCACAGATTCAAGAGAATGGCAGTAGAAATACAAACTGACATTGATTCGTAGAAATATTTTTTTAATAAAAGAATTAAATGAAAGCAATGCTGAAGGTTTCCACGGAAGCCAAGCCCAGCCCCAAATCTCCAGTGTCTCTCTCACACTGGCGATGAGCTGCTTGGGTACGCAAGGCCCTGCTCGGATTGCCTTTAACACATCAGAGAGGAAAAGGCCAGTAGCTGACATCACTTTGGGAAGCGTTGTTCCCTGGGCTGTGGTGGGGGCTCTGCACTGGTGCCCTGCGGCTGCCTGACTCCTGAGACCTTACCCAACGGCTGAGTACTTACTTCTTCGTTGCTTGGCCGGAGGGGCACTAGCTCCATTCCTGACATTCTGATCCTCTTGCCTACGTGGCACAGAGGCCTAGGAGCAGCCTGGGAGGGGGAGGAGGAGGCGGGCCAAGGTCTAGCAGAGCTGCTCTGTCCCTGTTGGATGGGGGAGGGGAGGGAAGACACTACCTTACACTTGACCTTGCGGCCCTTGGGTGGGTGAAACTTTGGAGCCTCCAGCCGCCAGGGCAGAAACAGAAATTAAGATCCAGATGTGTTTACTTAATCCTTGTCCTTGCCCCTCAACATCGCAGTTGAAGGCATGTACACTAAAATAAAATTGAAAAATATCTTGGCATGTAGAGAGCTAAGCAGTGGGAAGAAAATAGCTTTTTCTCCACTGCAATCCAGGCGGGCTGATAAGATAACGGTTAACTGGGTGAATTATGTAACTCTACGTGTATGTGGGGGAGGGACGGCAATTTCACAGGCAGCTTATGGCTACACCCAAGCATTGTTAAAATCTGTATATTTAGCGATAATGAATTACAAATTAATAATAAGAAAGGGCGAGAAACCAAGTAACAACTTAGAACGCACCCTTAAAGTGACATGACAGTAAACCGAGGTCGTGATTTCCCTTGTGACCTGGGAAAAGTTCCTTAACTTTTCTGAACTTCAGGCTCTTCATCTGGAGGGTAAACAAACCTGTCGGCAGGTGTGTCCTTTGTAAGCCTTGAAAGAGAAAGGAGGTGACAGGAAGTAAGTACTACTTAGGACCCAGCCCAGAAGGAGGCTCTCTACAATAAATTTAAGGATCCACAGGTGTTTCCATTTTCCAAATGAAATTGCTCGGGATTTTTTAAAGTTTTTGCTCACCGAAGATCTTCCTATATTAAGCTGCTTCTCATCCCCTTGTAGTGATAATTTCAAAACAAAATCGTTTAGTTCTTTTCTTTTAAAAATTGTGGCTGTCCCCAAACTGTCTTAGGTTAGCTATGCACATTTTGTAAAAGAATGAGAAAACCAGCACACACTTGGTGAAAAGGATGAATTCTGGGGTGCTGATTCATGTGACTTGAAAAGTGCCATCCATTTCCTGATTCACCTCAATTTCCGTGTGGCAACATGAAAGATCTCTTGTGTCTTGGAAATAATTAACCGGGTTTGTCTTGTCTTTATTTCCCTCCCTTGTGCTTGAATTTCAGCCACCTCGCTAAACTGCCACCTCAGAGGGGAGAAGCAGGGCTGGGGCTGCAGAGAGCGCCCCCTGGAGGAGATGAAGGAGCCGCTGTGATCAGGATCGACCTTAACAGGGAGCTTCATAGCTGCAACCTTTACCATGCATGAGACCGTATTAGCATCATGACAAACCTCAGGCCAGAAATCGTGGCCTCTGGACGTTTACATTTTAACTAGCCTTCCCTACAAATGAGCCAGGGGATACATCACAATCTCATCCACAAGTGTTCCCTTTTTACTCGTTCTTTTTTTAGATCACGGCATTTAAGAATTGAAACTGCTAGATCCTCTGATCAGCCCCATTAGTTTTTTTCTTAAAATGGCCAAATATTAGTAAAACTATATGCAGTTTTATGCCTCACTAAGACTGCCTAGTGCTGTTTTTTCGTTCGTATATTTTAAGTATTTGAGAGTGCTATAATAAGGCTACAGATAATGCTGCGATGCTCCCAAAGTTTCGGCAGAAGAAGAATCCAGTGGGAAGATTTCAGGGAGCCATCAGCCCCCACTTGAGTCTCGAACTTCCCAGAAACTATAAGTTTCTTTGACCCTTAGAAATGCCCGCTGCCGTGGCAGAAGTAAGCAGACCAGTTTTATTCAAAAAGAACCACCTAGAAACTAAGAATAGAAAGAAAAGTTATGGCACATCTGAGAATGAGCATAAATAGGCATGAAATGAAGTGCAGGGTCCTAGATCTTAAAAAGGAGGGACCAGGTCAACCACGAGGGCACCTGCCCTCCAGCCCTCTGCCAGTCCGTACACTGGGCCCTCCATCACGCCCCTTCTCTGAAGACTGAGCTCCACCCATGTCCATCCAGGGCCTGCGTCAGGCCTCCCATGTTCGTCGGGAATAAAGAAGACATTGATTAATGAGCATCAAACATATCTTTTTCTAAAAGTACAGCCAGTTGTTCCATGAAGGTACACACAGAGCGACCTGCCCCACCCCCAACCCAGGTGGGCCTTGCTCACCTCTGAGCTCTCTCGAACTCACTCCACAGGCAGAAACCACCCTCGCCCACCTCAGGGCCACGTTCAAGGGAGCAACCTGTTTAAAGTGTGACCACTAGGAGCCACAGTGAGAACTCAAGGACCCAACAGCCAGAGCATACATTCAACAAGTGTCATTTATTTTTTACTTAGGAACGTTTAGTAATTCGTCTCACTTTCAGTAAGGGCCTATTAATAAAAGACATTGTATTTTACTTCAGCTATATATCCGGAAGACCAAAGTAGTCTAGAAATCTGGGAGCATTTTGCCCTGTATGGTTAAATTTCTAGATATATTTTTCTAGCAGCCCAGTTTCCTGAAATTAACATTGTAGTGCTCAAAACATCTCAAGGGGCCTTTTTATGCAATGGGACAGGGAGAGGGGAAAATGCTAGCTTAAAAAGACATTTGGAATACCTAAAGAAGATGTAGGTGGGTTGTGTGGAGACAGAGCATTCATATGGTTTCTAGACTTATTTTCTGACATGGAGCCTTGTCTGTATCGTGAGAGTCTATAAACCATGGATGGCTGTATGTTTAGAAAAAGATAAGTTTGATGCTCATTAATCAACATCCTCTTTATTCCTCTGTCTTTGGAAATAGAGATTTGGGGAGAAATAGGTACGTTTGGAAATAAATTTTCAAAAAATAATGTCCATCCTGCATGCAATTAGAAATACAAGTTAGTAACTGCCTTAGTTTATCCCATCATTCGCCAGGGAGATTAGCTCAAAATGACCTTGAGTTCAATGAAAAGATTATCTACTAAGTGAAATTGCTAAGTGTCTCCTGAAGCAAATAAATGGGACAATGAGCTGTCAAGGATTCTGTCACCCTTCTGTCAACTCTCATTTCAGACCTTCCTTTCTATTCCTATTGCTGTCACCTTAACTCAGAATGTCAAAATACCAGTGCCTCTTACTGGTCTACTAGTGTCCCTGTGACTCCAGTCTATAACACTCTCCCACAGTGATCATCCCCCAAACAATACCTCCCCCATCATCCTTAATAACACAGACGTGATTTTATTTGACTCGCGATCTGCCTCGCTTAAAAAAATGGTGGGGGGAGGGCAACTTCCTTACAGCTAGGTGTGACCATGGAACTTAGCTGTGACCAAGACGACATAAGCTGTTGGGATATCAAGAAAGGTTTCATAAAAGGGGGCGACGACTAACTGGGCATGACCTTTCCTGCCCTTCCCTCGTGCTTCTGGATCCCCGCCTGGAACTTGACCATGATAGTTGAAATTCCAAGACCGTAAGGTAACCTTGAGGATATAAGCCATAAGCCAAGGACAGGAGACCTGGAAAAACAACCCTGGGGACACTATGGAGCCCCCGTCCATGGTTTGCCACCCCCAGACTTCATAACAGCAGAAAGAAAGAACTTTCCCTTTGGTTTTGTCCAACACTGTTTCTGTTCTGGGTTTGGCAGAAGACTGTGACTCCTCAGTGACAGAAGGTATAAGGCTCTTCCAGACCTCGCATTCCTCCATCTTCATCTCCCAGCATTACCGCCTGTGCTGCCCTCCCTCCCTCCCGCTCTGCTTTCCCGCCTTCAACCAAGTTTGTTGCTGTGCATTAGGAATTGAATGAGAGCAACGCAGAGCCCACCCTGCCCTTGGGGGAAGGCCGGTCTCTTGGGGAAGGTAAGTATCATCAAGGATCGATCCCGCAGTATGTGATCATAAGCCCTAATAAGTGCTATGAAAGACAAGTTTAGGGTCTCCGCTTTAGTCTGGGGAGGCAGGACAGGCATCGTGAAAGGTGGCATTTGAGCTGACATTTGAGGGATTAAGTGGTGACTAACAAGTCCAGGGACGAGTGGAAATAGAAACTTTAGAAATTCACTCACACTTGTTAAGATGCCACAGATGGTAATGTAAGTGTAACCTGAATGTGTGCATGTGTGTGTGTGTGTGTGTCTGTGTGTCTGTGTGTATAGAGAGCGATAGATATAGTCCTCTAAAACGGTAGAGAGGGAAAAAGATTAAATGAATCCAGTAGAAGGCTGGAAAGGAAAAGAAGACAAATGGAAAGAAAAAAAATTGTAGAAAGAGAAGTAGTAGAATTTCAGTAAACATATAAAATCCAATTATATCACAAAGCACAAGAACAGAATGGGAAAAAATTATACCAGGCAAACATCAGCCAAAATAAAGATAGTTTACAAATATGCATATCAGAAATAGAGATTTTTCTGAAGCTAAAATCTTTTTCAGTAAAAATATTCACTATCTCAAAAAGAGTCAGTTCATTAGGAAATACAAATGTGCCTGCAAGTAACAAAATGGTTTTAAAATATAAAAAGTAAAAAGGTACAAAATTATAAGGAAAATTGACAAATCCACAATCACTTGTGGAGCACATTTCCCTCACTAATGGATTCCACAGAAAGAAAAGTAGTATGAATTTAGATATCCTGAAAAAAACAATTAGCAAGGTCACTAGGATGGACTTATCGAATGTTCCCACAGGATTTACAAAAAAGAAGCAGCCACAAGGCAGCCTCCATGAATTCTGAATAATCAGTACGATGCACGTAGGTTATAAATGAATCATTACAAATGCAACATTTTAAATAATTCATATTTGTCCATTGTAAGCCACATTTCTAATAACACATAGAACACAGAAAACAATGGAAATCAGAAAAACTCATATGTTACATGAAAATGCAACATTAAAAAAACCTACATAGCTAAAGCAGTTTTTACAGAGAACACCTTAAATACTTGCACTAGGGAAGGGCTGAAATAGACACACTAAACGTCCAACTCGGAAAAAGAGAACGAAGGAAAATAACGTCACTCGCATCACATGTTACTGAAAGACTAGAAAGAATCAACGGAAAGAATCAACAGCTATTTAAAGAAATGGATAAGTTTAACAGAGACTCATGGTCGTGGACAACAGACTAGTGGTTACCAGAGGGGAGGGGGAAGGGAAAGGGGGAAGGTAGACGGGGTAAAGGGGGTCAAATAGGTGGTGACAGAAAGAAATCTAACTAAGGGAGGTGAACACACAGTGTGAACATATACATGCATTATTGTTAAAGTGTACAGCTGAAACTTATTGGATTTTGTTAACCATTAATTAATTAATTAATAAAAAATTAAGAAATAAAGAAATGTGTAAGTTCAATAAAACAGACCAGCCTCTGAAAAGGTACATAACTCACTAGAAAAATTTAGCTTTAGAAAACTAACTAAAGAGGAAATTAGAATTCAAATACACGTACGTTCATTGAAGAAACTGAATCAATGCTTAACAAGTAAAATGTGGATGGTTTTTGAGGAAGAGTCTACCGAATACTCAAGGCACAATCAATCCCTATTTTATGAAAGTTACTCCAGTGAGTAGAAAAGTCATAAGCCAAATTCCCCAAATCAAGGATGTTTTATCACAAGAAAACATACTAATATAAGTCACCTCATCAACAGAATAAAGAAAAACCATATGATCCTTTCAACAGCTACATAATATGCTTTGAAAAAAAAATAACACATTTATCCTTTTTAAAAAAAACTCTCTTAGGTATTAGACTAGCAATAGAAGAGAATTTACCTAATTTGATAAACTAGCTACAAAAAAAAAGAAAACAAGCAACTTTCCGTTTAATTATGAAAAATTGGAGACATTCACTTGAAAGCAAAGATCCGGGCAGACACACACATAGCAACACCTCGATCCAACACTGAAATCGTTGATTGAAAAGTGTCAGAGCCGGGGACCTTTCCCCTGACTCCTTTACTTCTTTCTGGCAGGTTGAATAATTTAAATGACAGACAGTAGATTAACAGGAGAAAATCAAATTTTAATATATGCACACAGGGGAATTCAACTGCAAAGACAGTGAGGCAAAATGAGGTAAATATGTCATTTTGGACTAAGGAGAGGGAGGCGAGCGATTGACAGGTAGATGAGAAAGCAAACTTTTTCCTGGTAAACGAATTCATGTAGGGTCACCCAGAATCAATGGGACAGAGGGAAATCTAGCTTTAAAGGTTTTTGTTTGGATCTTCCCTGTATGCAGCAATGAATTCATATATGCTAAAATGATGATGCTCAGATTCTCTTCCTGAGCAGATTTGTCTATATCAATTTCTTTAGGCAGGTAAGGGGGAGGTTTAAACAAAAACCCTCTTTGAGTTTGCTGGGCTGTAATCATTTTCTTCTTGAAATAATCTGCACGTCAGGGGGTCACATTCTGGGGAGTCTCGCTCCTGACCCCACTAAAGGCACAAATTTTTAATTGCAGACAATATAATCGTCTCCAGTAAAACCACTTAAGAACATCTACAGATAATTAGAATAAAGAGAAAGTTCTGCAAGGCTGCTAGACAGAATGGCAATACACAAATCAA